TAAGAGTAGGTGCTCTTCATACATACGCACCGAAAATGGTTTGTATTAGAGCGCGCCCGTACAAAGTTATTGAAGTTATAGAAGTTCAAGGCACGAGTGGCAATTCGCCAGTCGTGGCTAGTACGCCGTGCTTGGGTATTTTCCGCATCGCCGTATTGCCGCTCGTAATAAAATTTCTGGAAAATTGAAAACTAAACCAAAATATTGTATATGCATTTATAAATCGAGTATATGGTATTTCACATTTTTATAAATCAAGTATATGGTGTTTCGTTCCTTAGGTATTCGGGTATTTTTTTATAATATCATAAGTAATTATAATTTTGTCTAATTATTTACCCATCGAAAGTGTCAATGAATTTTTTCTACTCGTTTACCAAATCTCAATTTGTAGTTTAATTTATGAAATCTCTATGCCCGAATACCTCCAAATTGAAATAGATATTGAATTGTATACATATTTGCGTATTAGACAATACGCTATAATTTTACAAAACACTAAATTGATGATATGATGTAGGTAAGAAAAGGAATTGTAGTCTGTCCTATATACTAAAAAAAAACATTAAAAAGTTGTATTATAGTTCCCGGATGCTTACCATACCGAGGGAAACTATATTTTAGAGATTCAAAGTCAAAGTCAAAGTCAAAATAATCTTTATTCAAATAGACTTCTTAAAAGTACTTTTGAATCGTCCAACATTTTTTCCCTACCACTCGTTCAGGACGTCTTTTGGCTGATAAGAAGAACGAGCAAGAAACTCACCAGCTCTAATATGAGTAATGACATTTACAAAAACCATGTCATTACCAGATCAATACATTATAAACAGAGATAAAAAAAAACTATGGTCTTATAATAATAACATAATCATTTAATAATAATGGAAACAAGATAATGAGTTTAGAAGTAATCACCTATCCAGTTGCTGGATCATCTCAAGTCCAAGCGTTCTTATCTGTTATATAATCGGATACCTTATAATAAGCTTTTTTAATAAGTATTTTTTTAATAGTAGATTTAAACTGCATGATATCTAATTGTTGTATTTTGCTTGGGACCTTATTGTAGAAGCGCACACAAAGACCCTTGAAAGAGTTATTAACTTTTTGCAGTCTAGTGACAGGCACCGTTAATTTATTTTTATTTCTTGTATTAAAATTGTGTACATCACTTTTTATAGAAAACAAACTAATATTTTTACGAACGTACATTAAGTTCTCGTATATGTATTGAAAAGCAACAGTCATAATGTCTATTTCCTTAAATTTCTCCCTTAAAGAGTCCCTAATCATTTGATTGACCATGTATTTCTGACGATTGAATAATCTGTAAGCGGCAGCCCTACATGTTTAGGCTATAATCTCTCGTTCGGGTCTCGAGTGCACCTACTTATATATTTATACTTTGCTTATACTCCTAAATCTATACATATAGACCTCGTTTTATAATAAGACTGCTTGCGTGAATTTCATTTTAAATAAGTTGATTATCTCAAGACAGATTATGTAAATAATCGAATATAAAATATGGGCATAGGCCAATGGTTCGAGTATGAGGGGTAAATTATTAAAATTAAAAAATATGTTGTTTGCTATTATAACCGTTGCTGCAAATACATTCTGTGACCTATCAAATGAAAGGGCTTATTTTTTACGTACTATATGGGACTTATTGTGAGAATACCAAATTATTTTTTATACTTTCAAGTTAAAGAAAATAGGTAATAAATGACCAAATCAAATCGGAACTTTTGGGCCTTAACTTGTGAAACAATACAGTTCTTTATTTACCCCTGATTTACTACGAGCTTGCAAGCAAGCGTTAAAATTATTAAGTAAAATTAAAAAGATAATTAAAAAAAAGTATTTTTACTTTTTACAACTTTTTACTTATACTATTTTTATTTTATTTTGCGCTTGCATGCAAACGTCGTGGTAAATTAGAGGTTTATAGATAACAGGAAAATTTATAGAGTCTAGTTTTTTTTAATTAATATTTTTGCGGCACCCTTGCGGTACGAGTGCGACTCTCACTTGACCTGTTCTTTATGCATAATTTTAGGGCAAAATTATTGTTGAAAAACAGTCACACTGTAGTTCGAAATACTTCAATATTCTATAAAGTATCTAATGGTGTACGATAAAATCGACACCAAATTATTACGGATAATATTGGTTACAGACCACAGAGAGACGTATTATTGAACGGTTTTACATTTCCTATTTACAACAAACGAATTCATCGATTATTTCTGACTTACGAAACTAAACTTCTATTTAAAGGTGTTACGTTACAAAGAGAATTTAAGCACTACCTATTGATACCGAAGCACCTCATTTGATGTTTTTGAAGGTGTTATAAAACGATAAATAATATTAAGATTTAATGGACACAAATCGTCATTTAGACTGTCGAGTGAGGTATTTTATACTCTTTTGCACAATACAATAGTGAGTGTTAATAAAACGGCACAACAAATGAGAATGTTAAAACAATTGGCGCCAGTGGATTTGGGATCCCGTTGTTACGATTTAGTATGTGATATATATTCTGCTGAAAAGGTTTTTGTTATAAAGAAGAATAGACTAAATCTACTTCCCATGGACAAAAATGTTTTATGTAGTTTGTCTCTTTTTGGTTTCGTCAGGATTTTCTTACAAAGATAATTTATACGTTTATTGTTACCGCTTCCGCTAGGGTGTGAAATGTTCGGTCTCATAAAAAGAATGTGATTATTATCAGAACACAATTTTCGCCACACGAATATCACGTGGCAAATATTGTATTTCCACTTCAATGTTTACCATTATTATTCATAAGGATATCAAAACTGAATACATAGGTCATTAAAAAAAAGAGATCATAACTGTTATTGTATAAAAATGCGCACTGGTATGCCTGGTATAACTAGTAGATCTTTTAGCGATAATTTTGTTCAAAGAATTAGCAATTTCTTCATCTCTGTATATATTTATATTAGTTTTGATATCATGATTATAATAATGTGTTTATGTGATTCATTATATGTACGAGGGTCAAACTGAAAGTTCTTAGAACTGGCCACTTATAAACAATATAATAAAAAAATAATTCTAAAATTTGAAAATATAACTCTTTGCCAATATTACTGAGTATATATTTCATTCATTTGTCATTTGTTTTACGATTTGGCGGCAAATTGAAAATTGTCTGTGTCACGTCATCATGAATTTAACACGAGAAAATTTTCGTGCAATGATTTTTTATGACTTTCGATGTCATTTAAGTCAACAAGAAAGTTATGATAGACTACGATTGGCCTTTTACGATGAAGCCCCATCTCGTGCGACTGTTTACAACTGGTTTAATGAGTTTAAACGTGGTCGCACTAATCTCACTGATGATTTACGTGAGGGACGGCCTTCTACGGCGACGACTGAAGATAACATCTGTGTTGTGCGGCGTATGATAGAGACTGACAAAAGAGTGACCTATCAACAGATTCGGACAAGCTTAGGCATCGGTATGAGTCAAGTGCACAAAATCCTCCACGAACATTTAGCGGTCAGGAAGCTTTGCGCCCGGTGGATACCTCATAATTTGACTGAGGCTCAAAAACTCCATCGTGTGGATTGGTGTCGTAAAATGATTGAAAGATTTAACGGAGGAGACTCAAATGCTGTGTTCGACATACTAACAGGTGACGAAAGCTGGATTTACTGTTATGATCCTAAAACCAAAAGACAATCTGCTCAGTGGGTGTTTCCTTTCGAGGAGTTGCCAACTAAAGTGAAGAGAGATCGAAGTGCGGGAAAAAAAATGGTGGCCTCGTTCTTTGGAAGGATAGGTCATTTTGCAACAATTGTGTTAGAGGATAAAAAAACAGTTTCTGCAGAATGGTACACTACCAATTGTTTGCCACTTGTCTTGGAAAAAGTTCGAGAGAAACGACCTCGCAGTAGGATCCTCCTTCACCACGACAACGCCTCGTCGCACACCGCCAAGCGAACGATCGACTATTTGGCGACATCAAACGTTGAATTACTGGGTCACCCGCCGTATAGCCCCGACCTCGCGCCTTGTGATTTTTATTTATTTCCAAAAATTAAAGAAAAACTTAAAGGAAAGCGGTTTATGAATGCTGAAGAAGCGGTGGCTGCGTATCGCGATGCCATTGAAGAGACCCCTAAGGACGAGTGGGCAAAGTGCTTTTCCCAGTGGTTCCATCGCATGCAGCGGTGTATTGACGTGAATGGACAATATTTTGAAAAGATATAATAAAACTAATAACTGGCTAATGTAATCAGTTTTTGATTTTCTAAGAACTTTCAGTTTGACCCTCGTATTATTGTTTAAATATTTTTTAATTTGTAAGTATTTATTTGTGAGTATCATATTGAAGGTAATAAAGATTCTTCTTGACGCCATACCCTACCCAATTATAATTTATTTTGTCCTTTCTGTAACGGTTGCCTGGAAGAGATCACATCTAAGCGATAAGGCCGCCGATTTTACTGATTGTTAGATTATAACTGTAAATTTTGTGACTGTATGGTGTGTGTACAATAAAGAATATTCCATTCATTCATTCATAAATTCTTATTTACAAAAATGTATTCTGGTTATTCATCTTTTTTAAATAATTCTGATATATTAAATTCCCTTGCGAGAATATTGTCCAGATACTTAAAATCTCTGATGTTATGTCAGACAGTATATTAAACATTTATCAAAGGTTTGCTTGTAACAGTTTCGATAAAACGATCGAGTTCGTTTTAAGATTAACAGATTCAAAAGTGACTCAAAAAGCAAACCGGTATTCTTTTGTGCATCATCAAAGATCTAAAAGTATAGTTGAGATTCCTCTACAACAAAATTTGATGCAAACAAAATCAAATTAAAACTTTTTGTTTTTATCGAAACTATTATCGAAATTTTAGTAATAGAATTTTCGTGGAAACTATGAATGAACGCGTTAAAGAAATAATTTGTTGTTAATGTATATGTTTGATTGTAGGTTTTTCGGGCATTGGAGTATCCAGCAGAGTTGGCTAAACAAAACTTCCATAGAGACAGATTGCAGACAGAACGATGGAACTTGATACAGTTCGTTGCACAACGTAATGGAAACATAACGGTGGACCCTGACGTTGAGGAGCAACTGAGTCAACATTTGGCTTTGTATGAAAGAGTAAGTTTAAGAAAATATTTTGAAAATTAAGAAAAAACAATTTTAATACATTCATATTCTTAAATCTTTGAAACTAAATAGCGGAACATATGCGACTCGCTTTAGCCAAATCTCTGTAGCATAATTTCTAAGCATGAGCATTGGATAAGACGTATTTTGTACAAAACGTCTCTTTTATTGTTTTAAGTGGAATAAAGGTTACCAAATTGCCATAATTTCTTATGAAAATTAATCGTAAATCTTCATATATTGATTAGACGATATTTTTTTCGTTTTCTATTTGTTCTAATATTATATGTTGTTTTAATAGATTTTGGAAGAAGCTTCATCTAGTGGTTTATCTTTAGAAGTAGAGAAGAATTTTCCAGCAGCTGAGGAAAAATGGAGTATATTACAAGCCGTTTTTTTCTCTTCTACTGTGCTCACCACAATAGGTGTGTAAGACCATGTAAGCATTCAGAATTTGATTGCAATTAGTATTTAATCATTTAGTTATGTAATCAAAAAGGGTTTTCTAAAATACAAATGTTTGTATTAAAAATGTTTGTAAAGTTTGGCTTCATCTGGGTTACATCTTGAACAGTCTAAAGTTATTAGAAAAGTTTATAAGAACTACTTTTTCGTGCATTACTCTATCGATTTATAAAGCTGAATAAAAGTCTGCATTAGTTTTTGTGTTTAACACATTACAGACGCAGCGCGGTAAAGTGAAACGGCATTTGGATTTTTCCGTACTTAGTTTGTAAATTCTTGATTATTTTATTCATGAACCTTGAACCTTGCCTTTGAAATATATTTTTTTCTTTTTAGGTTACGGTAACATTGTACCAGAAACGTTCTGGGGACGATTGTTTTGCATTGCATACGCTCTCATCGGAATACCTTTGACGCTTACAGTCATTGCAGATTTGGGTCGTGTTTTTGCTACTTGTGTATCATTTATCGCCAAACAGTTACCTGCTATGCCCCGTAAGTTGTATTACCGTATAGCAATATTTTTACCATTATTAATAGAGAATATGCACATTTCTGAAAATGTTTTAATATGATCATTTACATTGTAGAAATACCCAGCACAAAAAACTAAAATATGGTAACATTAATACTTGATAAAAATAAATAACAACTACGAGTAGTTTAAACGCCGGAATTTGGGGCGCGCTTGTCGTGACGCCAAAGAACACTAGAGATGTGACATTTTATATCAATATTGATTTTGAGTGATTAATTATTATTCAATTACCCAAATCTATTAACAAATAACTGATTTTTTTTAAAGTGCAATAGACTTTTTTAGTATTCATATAGTTTACCAAATTGGTGAAATAAAAGAGTCTAAAACATCATTTAAATTGTAATCAGTTGTTTATTTTGCAACATAATACATTGATGTTATTGCATCTATAATAACGTTTTGTTACAACAACGTCACTATACGTGTACATTTTTGTCATATCCGCTCTTACAAGTAGCGTGGCGTTTGAATATTTTGAAGTTACTGCATTTTTTGCACTTTTTAATCATTACTTTAACTTATGTTGAAAAATATTTACATAGACTTCTTTATTCTAAAGCAAATAAAAATAATGATCGTAATAAAGTATATTTAACCCTTTTTTGAATCAAACGCATATTCCCTATTCGAAAAATTGGCTTTCTCATATCCATCCGTTATTCACATTTCGTACACATTACATCTAAAACTTTCACCCAGCATTTTTTTAATAATAATCATTTAATACAAGTAAACTTAAATTTTAGTTACGAGTTGTTATATGTTAAAAATGACCTGTTGTCCCGTCATTCTACCCGCATAAATTATTGCCTATTTCATCTGCGCGTGGGTGAAGGAATTTACATGATTAGATCAGTATTTCCGAAATTCATACTCTACAAACAAACAATTAAATGAAAAATTTGGCTCTTTATATTATAACATATATAGATGACAATGTCTTAATATAAATTTAAGTTTTTAAATTACATCCTAGAAATCGGATAAATAAAAAAACAAACATCTATGTATTGAGTACATAGTATAAATATATAGTCTAATAGGAAAAAATCTTTCAACAGTTTTTCACTTTTACTTTTTGTTTTTATTCTTACATTCTTAACGAAAAATGCTTAAAATTTTCACCTTGTCCCCCGCACTTAAGAATCTATCTTAGGAACTCGAACCCATGACCTGCTCTGACCACTGAGCTACCCAGGACCTAACAGGACTGATGAATTTTTCTATCTCTTGTCACTTTCGCTACTACAGGGGCGCGAACGCATAACTCATGGACGTAGGCATAGTCGTAGCTATAACCTACGCTTGATAGGTGTTTCATATGAATCTGTTAATATTGCTTTTAAATTAATCTATTTTTATTATTTTAATATTCAATCAATGCTTTTGTTTGTTTTTGTTTACTGAATTATTAAAGTTGAACGAAATTTATAAAATGTCGAATTGATACGAGCAATGCTATTTTGAAAAGAAAAAACAAACCAAAATGTTTGATAAAATATATAAATTATAAAATACAATTAATTTTAAAAGAATATAAACAGGTTCATTACCATTAGTTTATATTCTAGATGAAATTAGAATATAAACTCATGGACATAGCCGTAGTTATAGCTATGACTGTGGCTCGCGCCCCAGAGTGTATTTTCATCAATGTTCAAGCAATCCATCCGAACAGCCGAAATATTTTTTCAAATGTTTAAACTTTAGATGAAGATAAATATTTGTTCTAATTTTCATATTTGCTCAATTATGCATTTATAAAGCTATACTGAATGAATATTAATATTAAGAATATTTTTCAGAATAGCATTGTGGGTGCAAAATTGATTAAATATAATAATTTTATTCTTGTTTTTTAATATCTTTTGAATTATAGTACTGTTATTTATTTCAGAATGCTGTAAGCGGGTTTCAGATGCAAACCCGGCAGGCCAGAGGTCTCTTTATGCTCTTGGTGCTGTAGGCTTCCTTTTTGTATATTTATCAGCCGGTGCTGGACTTTTTAAGATGTGGGAAGATGATTGGACGTTCTATGATGGTTTCTATTTTTGTTTCATTACCATGACTACTATTGGATTTGGCGACTTGGTCCCAAGTAAGTGTGAATTACGAAATAAAAAGTATAAATACCAAGATAAAGTGTAATTTTTGATATATATGTATTATTATTCAATTGTCAGCATATTGCATTCCTCACTTCTAGGATAATAAATAAGCAGGACGTGCCATGTGGGCTCAATGTGGATTGTTGGCTATTAAAGATTGCAGTTGTAACTGGGACTAACAGCTTATCGTTCTTTCCGAAGTACTCAATTTTAGATTGATTTTTATTTATTGAACTTTAGTAAATGAATGTGTTACGCATTTAAAAATATCAACGATACATTCGATATGAAATTATACCAATGTAATATAGGTTAATATAAATTTAATTTTAGTAATAGAATTCCATAGTAAAATATCGTGGCGGAAGGCTGAAATATTGCGTGACTATGCAGCCTTTCTCAATATTCTATCGAATACATTTTCCGTTGCCTCTTGTTAAACATTTAAATAATAACTAGATACAGATATACCGACTGTAAATTTAGTCTTTCACGAGACCTTAGAGGTTCCTAGTATGTAAAGTATTCACATTAAATTGATCTCTGTTCTTAAGTTTGGACAATATAACTGTTAGTTCAGTCCATTACGTAGCTAGCCGATATTCTAAAGTGGTTTATAGTTTATACAGGCTAGAATCGATTGATGTGTAAATGTTTAACGTCAAGTCTGTATCATTGTATACTTAATATCTGACATTATATTTATAATTATCTGTCGGTATGCAACATTCATTCTATCTACTTCTGTTAAAATGGTATTTAAAAACATGTGTTTTGCTTGTTACAAACGTTGGAGTGTATCTGCTTTCTAGAAAAGCAAAGTTAAAAAAAAAAGTTTAAAAAATCAACAATTACTATCTAGGTACACTATCAATTACTGAATAAGCATAAGCCATATAACAATTATTCCACAGCAGGGTTTCCCAAACTTTTGTTTCCACGAACCCCTGTAAAAGATTGACAGTGAACACCTTAAGTAACTATTAAAGTTAATACCCCAACGAAAATAATAACATTGGTTGTCGAAGAAAGAAGATGTTTATTTAAGTTAATGGTAACAAATACCTAAAGAAATATATATATTAAGGTAATAACTTAAAAAGATATCTCTTTAAATATCTATTTGCAGATAGGCGGACTTGTTTTTCGGCCAATTTTAACCTTCTTTATCACGCCGTCAAGCCACCATTACGTAAATCTTGTCACGAACCCCCTATTGTCGAATGATGAACCCCTAGGGGTTCTTGAATCTCACCTTGAGTTACCCTGCATTAGACAAAACTCTTGCTTTGAAAGTAAAAAAAAGTTTTCTCTTTTCTTAGAAAGACCGAAATACATGTTGCTGTGTACACTCTACATTCTAATCGGACTGGCACTTACGTCTACCATCATAGAATTGGTTAGACGACAGTACGCCCGTTCTTGGCAGCAGTTGCGAGCGCTGTCAGGACCTCTGGCGGACACGTTGAGAAGACTTGGCGATGCTGGCAGAGGTGTTGATGTCTCCGACCTTAGGAAAGTTCTCACTGTGGTAAGTGATTCTAATGAATTGCGTACGTGGAGTAGTTTTGATTCGTTTATATCCCAATTCTGGGGCATTGTATTTCCCTATGGATGGAATCGAGTGGAATCGAAAGAAATCAGTGCGAATAGGTAGGTGTAATATCTGCAGATGCAGCCGGGACTAACGGTTTAAATTACTTACCAAAGCACGATAAATTTCTGGTCACCCATCCTATAACCGGCCCTTGCGTAAGTTACTTAACTTCATATACCGAAAGCGTCAACCACTGTAAGGGTGCGTTGTACCACAAGACAAAAAGTTGGCATGCGGAACCCTAGGATGAAATAAACGGTGGTATTATACTATTGTGCTATCGAGCTCGTCACCGTATAGGTAGATCTCTAGGTCGCTACTAACTTCTAACATGTCGATGTTTAGGGATTATTATTATAACGTAGTGCATGGTTCTTAATAATAAATCACAAATTGCGTGATCGTGCAATATTATGACAAATAGGAACGGGTAGACTCCGTTGAAATCATAGTAATCATTTCCTAATTTTACTATCATTTTGTTTTACTGGTGACGCGTTGTTATAACTATCTTTTCGCGCAGTTGTATAGTTAGACCCGATGTCGCCAGTCGTGGAGTCGATGTGTCTGACCTTAGGATACTCTCTGTGATAAGTACGGCTATGTCGCTCTTCCATTTCCGGGGCAAGGCCGCTATTTCATTTTACGTTTAACCTAGACTAGATATCCAGTGCATATCATTCGATACGAAGGAAAAATAAATCAATTCGCTTCTTGTACATTAGATTTGTTTATAAAGTCAGTTTATTTATGCACTATATTCATGTTTACACTTGTTTGCGATTGGTGTAAACGATTAGGCGGCGTCTTATAACTGTTATAAGTGTTAACATTTCTGTTGTATTTTGATGAAAAGTGATCTAAAAGCTTAGTTCATTAGGAAAGTTTATAACTTCAATATGTAATAGGAGGCTATAATCATTATATAGATAGTTTGAAAATCTTTTGACTCTAAAAATAAATCAGTGTTGATGGGACCATATTCACTCCAAATCTTGTATAAGCTAAAGATCAGTGGATTGTGTTGACAGATGCCTGTTCTTGCAAAACATTCGTCTTGGTTAAAGCGAGATAGCGCTTTATATGTGGGATTACTCAGACAAAAGGAGATTCAGCGAGCTTCATATTTTATGGAATTTATAAAACTGGCCAAATACTTAATGTATTTAAGATATTTATTTTAACATAATTTTGGTACAATAAGTAACTTTAATTTTATATTGTTGTGTAATTTTATAATATTTGATTTTATACATTTTGGGGAATTTCAAGTAATTGTTTACAAAATTATATTTTTTATCAAGACGGTTTTTGTTAAAAAAATATTTTACTTCTAGTGCATATATAACTAAAATACATAGATTTTAGTTATATTAACAGTTACTTTTGATGGCGTTTCATAGTTAACTAAGTTATATCATTTTAAATATATTTATTAGCGGATAAACACAAGATGTCGACTTCGTAATTAAGTATTTGTTAAGAAAAATGACTTCATTCTACAACCAATATGGCGGTCCACCGAAGATGTTCTAGTTATCTGTAAACATTCTTATAATATGGGTATCAAATGAATTGAAAGATTATGTTAAAATAATATGTTTAATTGAAAAAAAATATGTTAAAACAACATGGTTTTATTCAAATGCGTTAAAAGTTATATTCAGCTTGACTACATTAAAATAAACAAATATATTTTCAAGCTTATTGCTATTAGTTAAAAAAATGCTATTAGTAAAATGTTATTTTATTTTCTCTTAGCCAGATGAAACTGCTAAAAATTTTATTAATTTAAAGAATTCGTTTCTCTTTCGTGACAATGTTATTTGTATTCTGATTTTATTCGGGTCGGCGCCATCTTTCTGGTTCATTTGTTTGTATAGCAGTGTGTTTTCAAAATTTATTTGCTGCTAAATAATTCCGTCAAGAACTTAGACGAGTGGGTTTATTTTAGGAAAATAAACACGATGAACCTTTTTTATCGATACTCATTTAAATAGCTGATTCGGGAAAATGTATATTAGGCTTTTTATTTAACATCACAGCTCATAAATAATTTATTTTTGTCTGCGTATGTACAAGTGAAATATGATTGCGTTCATTATCGTATTTTAGAAAGGAGTTTGAATCATCTGAAGCGCGATAAGTAGGTACAAATTAGGTTTATCTATTTGAAAATCAAGAAATAATTGAATTGAATAAATAACAGTACTTTTAAACTTTGGATTGCGCGATGGTTATATTACGTCGTTATTCGGATTTTTTCAGTGAAGATTATGCAAGTCTCGTAGGAAATTACAAATGAATGTCCTTATATTTCAAAACGTAATAAATAGCGTGTAATAATAATAATTGTTTCAACGAAATACGATCTAATAAAAATGTCGCATATTATATATATATATATAAAAATTATAGCTATACATTGCTTTTTGATGTCCTTTGCAGTTTCAAATTACGTTGAAGTTTTAAATGTCTATTTCTAGTTCCTAAACAGGTTTTCTGTTTAGGAACAGTCAACAGAACGTCAGGCTATACAAAACTGTCAAATTCCACCACTTGATTCCTTCCTTGAAACGTTCATACATTGTAGTTCATACAAAATCCATTGACAAAATTTGACATATTGTCATGGCCTGACGTGCAGCCGGTTGTACTAAGGTACTTAAGTAGAAAATTTGATTTAATAGAGTTATTCTCTCACGCTTCAAAAATACGTAATAATGGCTATCGATTCCAACTTTAATTTAAAAACAATTTATGGTTACAGATTATGGATAAATAAAAAAATCTTGCACACATATTTTCTTAAAAAGTTGTTAATTGGTCTAATTAAAAAGTTCCTTGAAGGCTAATGATGTTGTTAGTACGAAAAAAACCCCTCATAAAGCTTACTTTAGTACTTACCTGTATATAATATAATTTGATATGTGATTGTATGTTTATGGCGCGAATGGTTCATATCGAGGTCACGGCGGGTGCGTTTCAATGTCGCAACGGTTACCCTTTTAGTTTGAGAGGCAATAAAATTCGGCAAACATATATATGTAATGCTTTCTTTTATTTTTAAGTCTAGATAGAACGATAAAATAATAATCAGGCGCCCATACTATGCCAGCAGTAAATGACTGTCGGACAGCACTATCTGTGGCCAAGAAGCTTATGAAAAAATATATAAACTTTATCACAGAATTACTGAAGGAGTGAATTTTTTATCACAGAATCTATCCTGACTGTAAGTACTAGTTAAAATGAAGGGGGATCAGTCTCTTAAATGAAGAACTAAGCAAGTAGTACTAAACTTGTTTTTATTTGACAGACACTTCTAATTCGCTCACGGTTACAGAAAGCACCCTTAATTTGTAAGAAAACCATTAAAACAAGACATAAAAGAAAAGTTTAAATGCCTGAAGAAGAAAATATGCCTATTTTTTAAGATAATAAAATAAAAACAACATGTTTTTAATTGATCATTCAATTTTATAATATTCATAAATTTCTTGAATGTTTTATGTAAAACTCTATTAAACAATACTGTCTTAAATCCGTTTTAGTAGTTAATTATATAAATAAAATATGTTATTATTACTGAGGCTTCTGAATTCACACTTAAGTTAAATCTCCTAAACAACAAAACCTCACAATGGTTTGAGAAATTACGTTGTAAGTCTTGATAAACGAAAACGTTAAGTTTCTGTTCTACATTTGTATACAATAGTTTATGCCACAATAAGCAGTTATACAATACAATATCTTTAGTAACGCTTTTCATTCTTCGTTTGTAATTAGTTACTCAGAAGTTGATGACGAACTTCCAATTCGTGTTAAAATCGCTTTTACTAACATATTAGAGACGAATAATGAAAAACATTTTACACAACTATAAAGTATATAATTATAGTTTGCAAATTTATAATAAATCAGTTTTCGTAATATTCGTTGGTTGGTTGGTGGAAGATTCCAAAAAATAGAAGAAATTAAAATTTAACTGATATTGTGTCTGTTTGTATTTTTTGATAGTAAATGTTAGATAAACTTTACAAAGTAAGTATAAATTAAAATAGAAAGATAACAATTTGTAAATAAATGATCCACTTGGTCCCTGGCACCCTGAGATGGGATTCAGCATGATTAAGCATTTTGTATTAAGAATATAGTGTATAGAACACCGATCTACATAATGAATATATTAGTATAGTTGTAGTGATCTGTGAATTATATGTGATTAATGGGTGAGATCATGTTCATTATAATTTCACGAATGCTTTCTTTAGGTTACAGTTGCGGTAGTATTATAAATCTAGTGAGTAAACTTTGAATCCGATTTAAAATATATCTATTAATAGTTATACAAGTCAGGAATTCAGGATCATAATATGATATTACTCATACAACGTAATGACAAAGTATAGTTAATGTTACACTCAACCCCTAATAAGTTATGAAGATATTAATTAATATTATCATCAAAGATTCACAAGTGTTACACATTTGGATATAAAGGGAATGATAAGCTGGGTTATTTGTTTTGTAATCAGGTTAATCTTTATTACATTATAATTTTGTTCTGGTACATAATGAATATGTTACATTTCTTTCTTTTCTTAATATTGTTGATTTTATATATACAGAAACATTTTGTGACTCCTTTAATTTTTAAATCTTTAAATCTTAACCTGATTTACGTATCAGGTTTGGAGTTAAACAAATTGTGTTATGGATTTAATTGTAAGATTAAATATTTTTAAACTGTGAACTGTGGAAGTTTCATGAAAATCGATTCAGTAGGGCAGAAAACCGGTATTAGTCACTGCCCCCTTTTTTCGCCATTTGGCACTTCAGGCTTACTAAATATATTACTTTGCCGTCGACGGTTTAAAAATGTTGGATTAAGGCAAAACTAACAATGTTAACAGCTGTAATGTGTCAAAGTTCACTTCTTCGTAACATTAAAAATCACAGAACATAAATTCTTTTCTGTGTTCTGTGGTAAAATTGGCCAAAACTAAGTCATAACTCATAATCTTAAAATGGTCAAAGCCAGTTCATCTGACCCAATTTTTAAGCTATATATTTATCGAGTTTAAGGAGACTTCAAAAAGTATTCGTCACTTAAATCAAGACAAAATAAAAAATAAATAAAGTGAAAATTAAAAATAATAAATAAAGTAACTAGAAACTCTGGAAGACTCGAGTCGATTCAATTAGTCAAATATGTAAACTTCTTGCAAGTAAACTATCGTTTGACATTCTACAATGGTGGAAGGTTTGACGGGTGCCGATCCTGTTGTTTTATCTACACCGAAATCTCGGTATTCTCGGGTGCGCCCGATGCGGTCATACGATATGTCACACTCGACTGGAAAAGTGACATTTTAGTGTAGACACAGAGTTTCTCGAGTTTGTCATGCTATGTGAGAGTGCCAGGCAACTCTCCTCCAATTGCAAAAAGGCCCCTTAGAATGCAGTTTATTATTAAGCTAAGTGCGGTGAACCTGCCCTGATATATTTGGTGCAGATAACTGTGCCAAAAAAGCGAATATGAGTCATTAGGGAGACAAAAGAAATGAATGTTTAAGATATATTGACTTTTCATTTCCAATGTATTTTTGTTAGTGTGATTTAAGAAAATACAAATCGTGTTAGTATTTGGTGTACTGTTATTTATAAAAAAACATAGATTTTCAACGAAATTGAATAAAAAAGGATTAATTCAATTCTATACGTGGCTCTGTAAGTTTTATTCCCGAAGACGCGACTTGTATGGAAGCAGTATACAATCGGAAAGAGCTGTTTAGCCGCCTTTTATTATGTGTTACACATTATTTGTGTGTCCAGATATTTTTGTCAAAGATACGAGGGTCAAACTGAAAGTTCTTAGAACTGGCCACTTATAAACAATATAATAAAAAAATAATTCTAAAATTTGAAAATATAACTCTTTGCCAATATTACTGAGTATATATTTCATTCATTTGTCATTTGTTTTACGATTTGGCGGCAAATTGAAAATTGTCTGTGTCACGTCATCATGAATTTAACACGAGAAAATTTTCGTGCAATGATTTTTTATGACTTTCGATGTCATTTAAGTCAACAAGAAAGTTATGATAGACTACGATTGGCCTTTCACGATGAAGCCCCATCTCGTGCGACTGTTTACAACTGGTTTAATGAGTTTAAACGTGGTCGCACTAATCTCACTGATGATTTACGTGAGGGACGGCCTTCTACGGCGACGACTGAAGATAACATCTGTGTTGTGCGGCGTATGATAGAGACTGACAAAAGAGTGACCTATCAACAGATTCGGACAAGCTTAGGCATCGGTATGAGTCAAGTGCACAAAATCCTCCACGAACATTTAGCGGTCAGGAAGCTTTGCGCCCGGTGGATACCTCATAATTTGACTGAGGCTCAAAAACTCCATCGTGTGGATTGGTGTCGTAAAATGATTGAAAGATTTAACGGAGGTGACTCAAATGCTGTGTTCGACATACTAACAGGTGACGAAAGCTGGATTTACTGTTATGATCCTAAAACCAAAAGACAATCTGCTCAGTGGGTGTTTCCTTTCGAGGAGTTGCCAACTAAAGTGAAGAGAGATCGAAGTGCGGGAAAAAAAATGGTGGCCTCGTTCTTTGGAAGGATAGGTCATTTTGCAACAATTGTGTTAGAGGATCAAAAAACAGTTTCTGCAGAATGGTACACTACCAATTGTTTGCCACTTGTCTTGGAAAAAGTTCGAGAGAAACGACCTCGCAGTAGGATCCTCCTTCACCACGACAACGCCTCGTCGCACACCGCCAAGCGAACGATCGACTATTTGGCGACATCAAACGTTGAATTACTGGGTCACCCGCCGTATAGCCCCGACCTCGCGCCTTGTGATTTTTATTTATTTCCAAAAATTAAAGAAAAACTTAAAGGAAAGCGGTTTATGAATACTGAAGAAGCGGTGGCTGCGTATCGCGATGCCATTGAAGAGACCCCTAAGGACGAGTGGGCAAAGTGCTTTTCCCAGTGGTTCCATCGCATGCAGCGGTGTATTGACGTGAATGGACAATATTTTGAAAAGATATAATAAAACTAATAACTGGCTAATGTAATCAGTTTTTGATTTTCTAAGAACTTTCAGTTTGACCCTCGTACTTAGAGTTATCAATTTGGAATTAGTATTAAATATCACTCACTATGTTAGAAAACATTATGTCGCCCCAGCGGGCTAACATTTTGAACATTTCAATTACGTATATTTTTTGATTTGGTAAATTATGATTTTCCCTTAGATTTTTTTCAAACTTGATTATATTTTTAAAGTAGGTATTTTTGTACAAATCTGGTGGATTAATCAATTAGTAAATATTATGAAGCTTAAATAGACTTTTTTGATGGAATGCGAGTATCATAGTGATGTTTGTGTTGGCGTTATTGATTTTTGATAGAAATCGTTGTAGACTTAGAGCGTAATTCGCGTAGGTAACATACGTCAGTGCGGTTTTATGTTTCTAAAATGTTGAATGCTTTAATAGAACGAGGTGGGTTCCCTGCAGACACGTAAAAAGCGCATTAGTGCTGTTAGTGGCCGATGTGGCCAGAAGCACTTTGTGGTTCACATGAAACGTGTCTTAATAAAAACAACACGCACGCACATACTAACACGGATAATGTGATTGAGTGAAATCTTAGAATAACTACTCATAACACTCAATTTGCTGAGGTAACAGAATAAAATTAACTGAAGTTCATTAATATATAAGTCATTGTTAAATATACTACTAATAAATTCAATGCACATCTTTCAGCTTCCAGAATAAAGGTGTAATGTAGATTTTCATAATATGTGTAATAAATATCATTTTAGTGGATTCCTTAAAAATATATTAAACCAACAACGTATAAGATTAAGGAGTGCTGTAATAAGAAAATAAGTCTTTATTTAAAATAGAATAAAGGATATATATATCTTAACGTTCTTTGAGTCCTAAGCGTGAAACAGTAAGGTACAAATTTAATATAACAAAGTAAAATGTGGCCAAGAATGTTGCAATTTCGTCGACCGAGACCGCTGAACTATCGTTGTTGCATGTAAGGATAAATTTGGCATGTAAGGATAATTTGTTGCATGTAAGGATAAAGATCAAAAACACGGTGTCAATTGACTATAGGCAATTGAGGGAATAAAAAAGTGGTTTATGTATCTGATGAGTACACTTATTATTTGCGGTCAATTATAATTTATGTAGTATCTTTGATACAATAATTATTGTCGAAGTATAGTGTTTCATTCAGTAGTCAACGACGTTGTATATATAGATGAAGATTTGACCATTATTTCACAAGGACTGCAAGCATATCCATTGATAACAAATGTCTCCACAGCGTTTATATATATTAAGTGGAATAAATGAATGTCGAACTCACTGTAGGCTTTAATATATTATGTGGATTTTGCTCCAAGCAGCGACTTTAATTAACCTTAAAATAATAATGTGAATCATAATGTCAATTTGATTTTGATCTCATTTAAATTTACAGGGAACAGAGAGTCCAAAAAAGGTATAATACAATATTATGCAAGCTTAAAATAAGCAGAGAAAATTTTTGCTATTCAAGTCGAAAATTCAATTTAAGCTGCTGTTTCATATTTCGCCACAGTCGAGATGCTTACGCGCTCTGAGAATGATTATTATATTTCAACCGCAATTCAATACAATAATAAGAATATAATATTACTGTCCTATATTCGTCATTGCAACTCATTTTATATTTATTTTTTTAACTAGACGTAATGCTTTTTTAGTAGATAGAAAACAATCGGTAATTTGAAGTGTCAGATAACAGTACGTGCTTCAAGTAGTTATTTTATTTAAGGTATCTATCCTTACGCTTTTAATATCTATCATATAATAAAAACATTTGCATTCAGTAGAAGTAGTATTTTTTACTGTTAGTATGAGCACTAAACTTTTAATGGCAATGCAAATTATTCATTTATTTATTTTACTAGTCAATCAGATGTCTATTTGACATTTATAATGGTGATTGGAAAACATTGAAATGTATTAGTTAAAATCGTATATAAAATTTGTCAGGAGCAGCTTGTAGAGCAATGTTTCTTCAGAAGGTTTTTAAGATTGTTGGAGATTTGTATACCTATATGAATTTCATTTTTGTCAGGTAACAATGCCACGGTTGGGTTCGGGAAAAGATGCGGATAAACGTCAACTGGAGTGGGAGGCAGCAGTTGAAGCCGTCATCAGAGACATCACATCACCCACGAAACCGCTACAGAAACCACCGATAGTGCAAATCGTCATTTACGAATCATCTGTATAAAGTGTAACATTCTTGAACACTAGAATGATTCTTATTACCAACTCTCGCTTCACTGTTCACTCTAGTCACATAAAGCTTTAAACAAATTGTGTCATTATCACGTATTATTACCTAAATCTTTTTTAATATACACAAAATTCTCTGGCATTCTTATTGAAGCTATAATTGCGAGTCGCGATCACGAAAGCGCTTCACCAAACCGCGTGACATTTCAACATTACGAACTTTAATATAAGAAGTTCACGGCCAATTCCACAGCTTGTGTTTGTAACTGATGCATAACCAATGGTTTTGACCTATTTAGTTAACTGATGCCTTTATTAAATATTGTTGCGAAGCTGGATAAAGTAATGGTATGTGGAACTGTACCAGTGCCAACTTCAGAAAAAGATGTGACTCGCTTGTCTGCCTTTGTTTTTTTTTTGCATCATGTCATTGGAGCGTTTACGTTTGAAGTCCGGTGTCAAGATGTTACCTTGGCGTCTCATTGTCTAGACAGATGTGACAGAGAGACTTAATGTATGTTTTACAGTATTTTTGTCGATAAGTACACAAGAAGGAATGATAAATATAGTTACTTACATGTTGTTAGCATGAGATAGTAAACGGGTCGCTAAAATTAAATTAAAAACTTCTGTGTTTTAAAAATAATTTAAAAGCTTATGCTTAAAGTGTAGGTTGAAACTGAAAAGACATTGTATTTTTGTCCGTATCTGAAAATCGAATGATGTTTGAAAGAGTGATGGAGTTTATTTATTTATTAGATAAGTGTTATAATTATAAAATAAACTTTTTCTGTAGTTTTAAATAAAATAGATTTGCTATTTGCGTCTACAGTTGTTTTATTTACCTTATGTAAAGTAGTTGTGTAACATTTGATGAATTATAATTCATTTGTCATTATTTGTGACGTTCAAATTAACATAATAGCAATTAGGATTACCGCTACCGCTTTGATTTAAAAATAAAAATAAATAAAAAATAATTATAAATCCGGATGCTCTCGGTGCATACCAGTCTAGACTATGCAAATGCATATTAAATAACCAATACTTATTTTGAAAATTTACATGCCGAGAGCACCCATGTTTTTTAATGCCGTGGCAGTAACCACGAAGAAGTATTTAGTGACATGTCTACGTCTTTTGAGAATAAAATTTTATGAACTCAAGTTGTAAGCATGCCTACAGGCCGGAAAATAAATAGAGATGGTTGGATTTTTCTAGAAGTTGTTATGTATAGACAGCAGCACTTTAGTTTACAAAAAAAAAATGACAAATTACTGAAATTGATTTTGAACTACATTTACAACGAATTAAGGTTTTAAATCTAGTGGGAAATTTCAACGTTTTTGAATATATAGCATGTTGTGGTAATTTGAGCTAGTAGGTGGTGCACATTTTCATCATGTTTTATTGGGGTGGAGTGCAGTTAATATATTTTAAAGTACTGCAGTGTTATTCTGTAAAAAAAAATCTGCGTCGAACTCAAAGTCGAGCAAAACGCAATCATAGCACAGAGGTTCAATCAAATACAACCTACTTCAAACTGTAACAAGTGTTTTGTGAATTTTTATCTTTGTCCGTTTGTATGTAGTTAGAAAATGATCCGACACTGAAATTTTTTTCACCTACGGGAAGCTACACATACGCAGATGACATAAGTTATTATTTTCGCGGGCGAAGTAGCAGGAATACAGTTACGGTATTAATAAAATTATTAATAATAAATCCTACTTGTTGTACTGACATTTTAAGTAGGATCAATTTCGCTATTATAATGGGCTTACATAGCAATGTAATAAATACAATGTCACAATTTGAATTGACTGAAAATATCAGTGTTGATATAATAAAATATAATAATAAGTAGCTAATAGACAAAACAAAGATTAGCCTTGGTCCATTTTGTGATTTCCTACGATCAATGCAAGGAACATTTGTACTCAGTCTTTCGATTTTATAGTGCAATAAAATATATGGTAGTGTTTGTATAATTCATAATTTATGGTGTAAACATGTCCGACAGTCGGAAGCCGCCTGAAATCTATAGTTTGTAGCAACATCTATATACATGATATCGTTAATAGTTCATCTCACTACATATTAAACGTTTAGCGACTATTATTATTTTATTTAGCAGGTTATATTATTATATTATTGAAAGCTTTTTATAAAATCAAAACTAATGCAAAAAACATTTCCAAATGTTTTTAGAGTTCCTTCCCAAAATTGGAAAACCGAAACCGTTGTAGGATTATTTGGTATTTGGTTACTGTATGGTCTGTCTGTCCGTCCGTTACAGCAGTTTATCTCCGAAAGTATATGGACCGATACGATTTGAAGTGAATTTGAAACGTACCGCCATGTTTTGTGAGTTAAATAAGAATAAAATTTAGTAAAATACCAATATTTAATTATGTGACATATGAAACGCAAGGCCTTTTTATATTAACAGAATAAAGTTTCGAAGTTACTGACAATAGAAGAAAATTAGGAAAAATTAGACGCGGGCTCCGAGGGCATAAAACTTTGAAAAAAAAAAATATTTCGATATAAATTTATTACATGAACATCTACAACATATAAATTTGATATTCGTGCGGTACGTTTTGCACGCGAGCCCGATTCGCTATTGGTTGGGTTTGAAATATATATTTTTTATTCTTTCAACGTTAACAATGTTTTTTTTATAGTGATTTTGGATATCGGACTTTTCATTTTGAATTTGAAAAGTAAGCATCGAAGAAGCATATAGTAGTACGTAAGTAGTCTAGTAGCTGGTGTGTTAAAAATAATTTTAGGATTTGTTTCTTTATTTGTTAGTCATAAGTTTTATATTTTTAGATATTAACCTTCGCGCACACGTGTTATATCTATTCTGATAAACGCCACTGTATTCTGGTGTGTTCTTATGTTGGTGAGTCATTAACATATTGATGCTTCCTTGAAATAGTCATCCGTTATTGGTATTGTATACCGGCAATTAGAGAGACTGATTTAATAAAACACAAGCTGTTTTCTAGAGACTTCGACCGCATACATTATAATCTATAACACCCGCGTATGATGTAGCTTTCAGTAGGTGAAATATTTTTTTGAATTGGTTCAGTACTTTCAATATAAACAAACAACCAAACTTTCTCCTTTATGATAAAGACCGAAGTAAAGTTTTACTTATTGATGATACTAATAGTATAAAAATATATATATACTCTCTCTATAATAACTATACTCTCTGAAACAGCGTTAAACTATCGGAATCAACAATATATAAAATTTATCTATAAAACTTTTTATACATAGTATAGAAAAAAGTCGCTCACCGCTGTTTGTACACTGAGTTCTTTTTAACTTACCAATGGATTTTAAAACAACAGATAAAGTGATTCAAGTGTGAGGTTAATAATATGTTTAAACAGGACCACGAGAAGCCGCTGGCGGAACTCTAGTTGTTAATAAAATTACAAATTGTTAATGAAACTTACGGTATAATTTCCAGCAGCTTAAAATTCCAGTATAGATCTGTTTTTTCTTTATGGGATAGGGGGCAGTCGTGCAGACGGATCACCTGATGGTGAGTGATTACCGTCGCCCATGGACACCTGCAACACCAGAGGGGCTACAAGTGCGTTGCCGGCCTTTGAGGGACGAATATGATCATAGGGAGGGAAGGGTTGAAGGGTAGAGGGAAGGGAATAGGGAGGGGTTGGGCCTCCGGTACCCTCACTCACACGACGAAACACAACGCAAGCGTTGCTTCACGTCGGTTTTCTGTGAGGCCGTGGTATCACTCCGGTCGAGGCGGCCCATTCATGCCGAAGCGTGGCTCTCCCACGGTACGAATCATATACGAGCATGGATGCAATTACTAAGGATATCCTGGATAAATTTAGCTACAATTAAATATTTAGTATTACATAATACTGCCCATAAAGGCACCGGAATATTTCATATCAGAATATTATTCTTAATAATTGCTTACTTTTTAGTTTTTCTAAACATTGGTGCTAAAAAAGTAAAATAATTCATGTAAATCATTCTGCTGTTCACATTGAACGTTATCTATCATCGGCCATCAACGGTATATGTGACCGCATTATCATGTAGGACAGCTATATTAATAAAATGGGGAGTGACTACAATTATCAAAACCATGAAGAAAGTGATGGGCAATCAATACTATACAAGAACATGGGCGTAGTAATCTCAATTGGTTAAATGTAGGCATTTTAAATACTTACCAACATTTGAAGTCTTCCCAAGAAAAAATGCATATTAATTTACGCTATGTTATGATACTGTATTTTACACAATATTTTTGATATTTCTACGAAGATTATTATGGTATTAATGAATCTGTAGAATATTTTCTGTTCAATGAAAATCTTCTTGCATTATAAATAAGTAACGTTATCTTGAATGAAAAAAAATTACTTACAACAAAAACAAAATGTTGGTGCATACAATCAACTTAGTTTTGAGTTATGTGACATTTATTTTGAGAATAAGTATCTACATACATATTAAACATGAAAGTCTATAATTCGTTATAAATTTTAACGAATGAAAAAAGTTCATTGACAGATCTTGTATAAGTAATCTATATAATATAAAAATGAATCGCCAAAACGTATGTACACGCATAACTTCCAAACGACTGCACCATATGGAATGGTTCTTTTTTATGTGTTGCTTACTGTCAGGACAAGGTTTGTATATAAGATTTTTTTTTAAAAGATATAATTTATAAAAAACGGATATATGGCGGTATGAAGTTTGCCAGGTCACTGGTACAAGAATATGTACGAAAATCAAAAATATTGTTACAGTACAAACCAGTTTGCTTCAATAATTAACTTTACATAAAATACAGTTTTTCTACAAATACTTGTTCTCTAAAGATACTACTATATAGTCGTTTTTCCGTTAATATGTTCTATTTCGTATTTGCTTGTCATGATTATCGAACAAAACTCGAAAGATTAAAAACCTTTCTCAAAAAGTAATAAAGGTTTTATTTGATTGAATCTTTATTTTTAAGAGTTCTTTAAAGAGAGTAAGAAATGGAATTGTTTGGCTAAAAAGAATCAAAGAGTTGATTAATGGTTTTTTAGTACATATGAATAGAAAAAGTTTTAGCAGTTTCTGTTATTTCTAGTTTTAATTTAGATTAAATACTCGTAGTTTGATTTTATATCTTATTTTAGTTATTCATACAGAATTTTGTGAATACAGTTCACACCCAGCCTTTCCTTGCCCAGGAATATTTTAACCACCTCCCCTAACTGTCAGATCTTAAAAAAATGCCTGTATTATTATCATGAATGTTTCATGGAACATACTAATTTATAAACAAATATTAAAATTACGAAAATATCCTGAAGGTTTCGTAGTTAACAAGGAACCCTTATATAGTTTCGCCATGTTCGTGCGCCCGTCAGTCCGTCCGTGGTTTAGCCCAAAAACTATTTGCACTAGAAAGTTGTAATTTGGCATGTGCATACATGTTAATTACGCCGACAAAGTGGTATCTCGAAAAAAAATACTTTTTTAGGATACCTCTCCTACATGGGACCCCATTTTACATGATGATAATTTGTTTTTGTCTTCCCCATAGTGTGGGATTGTTGGGTGGATCTTTCGAAAATATTGGGGTGTGGGAAGGTCGTTTTTTAATTTAGTAAACCGATTGTGATTTATTAAGCTTTAAAGGGCTAATTTTCGTTAAAGTCAAGTGCCCCCCCCTGTACCAAATTTTTAAAAAGGGTTTAAAAATTTATTCCCCCTTGTATCTACTACTTACTAGCTGTGTTATTAAAATCAATTCTA